ATACGCCGTACATATCATCAAGGCCAAACTCACAGTATGCAGCATTGGGGTTCGTGCCAGTTGGTAGTGTGCCCAGCACGGGTTATATAGGTAATATGTGGCATGTACATATGAACGGGGGTCATATTGCATATTACCCACCATACGCGCAAAATCCTTATGGAAACGTTAGAGAGACTGTAACTCTTTTGCCCGAGTTCAATCCGTCAAGCGATAAATCTCTTATGCCAAATCAGTTCATAAAACGCATCGATATGTTACGACCTACATATCGTTAGGACGATCAAACATTAGTATTTGCAGTGCAACAAAAGTTGCAAGGATACGCAAATTATTGGGTTGATTCGCAAGAAGTGTTTCTTTCTTGGACGGAATTTGCTACAAAATTTTTGAAAGACTTTGCTTCTACAGAAAACATAGCAGACGTATACATCAAAATGTCCCAAACGAAGAGACAATTTAATGAAAGTCCGCAAGAATATTACTACAAAATGATGTCTATAGTTACTCGTGGAAACGTACCCGAAAATGCAATTGCTCGGTATAATGGCATCAATGAGTCACGTTTAAAGCAGAAAATTATAAATATAAAAACTTGATATAAATATGATATAAATGATATAAATATAAATATTTATACGGTGTATAATGATGTTCAGAACTTTAACGAAAAACCAAATCCTAAATACCCGGTAAATACTAATCACGATCTTAGAAACAATTCTAAGATACAAAAGCTCCATAATAAGGAAAGCGAGATGACTTGAAAAGTCAAATGTTTCAATTGCTCTAGAATAGGCCATTATTCAAACAAGTGTCCTGAACCACAACGTAAAGAGCGTTGTTCCATATGCAATCGCACTACGCATAAGGAGACCGATTGTCGTAGTAAGAAAAACAATGCGGAGAATAAACCAACGGTTAACAAAATTGAAAGTACTTGCGAAAAAAGAAAGTTGTGAAAGTAAACCAAAAACCGACGCGATCATTTATAAATCCTGGTAGTGCATACACTCTAATTCGGGAGACATTTGCAAAAGATTTTAAAAATGAAATACTGCGTTGTTCTGTAACTTTGAGTGGTTTCACCGATAGAAAATTTATTTGCACCTCTAAAATAAATGCTGTCGTAGAATTTGATGATAACGAATTTATAACCAATTTGTTGATCGTGGATGACGGAAAAATACCCGAACATATTTTGCTAGGTCGTGATGTATTGTGCCGTGAAGGTAAACGTCTTATCATAGAGGGAGACAAATGTCATATAGAAGATCTGCAAACATCGGTGGAAATACCGTCGGATGCACGCAAACAACTAAAAGATCTACTCTCAACGTACCGTGGCGTTTTTGCAGAAAGTATGTCCGAACTAGGCAAATGTGTTATCAACAAAATGGGTATTAATTTAAACACTGACGTACCTATTCTGACAAAACCATATCGGATAGCATTTGCCACAAGCAAAATAGTTTCGGACATTGTTCTTGATTTGCTTAAAAACAACATCATACGTCCTTCGTCATCACCGTATGCCTCCGGGATAAGATTGCGTCGTCGAAAGGCCGTGGTGAAGTTTTAATTTACCTCGATGATGTTACTATACCCAGTAAAAGTATAGAAGAAGGCATAGTGTAACAGTAAAAACGCAACTCTGAGTAATATTGAGCTGAATGCAGCCCTGCGAGGCAGCATGAAAGGTGAATGACAGTTGATACGAAGCAGAGGAGACAGAAAGAACGGAAATGACACACAAATGTGAAACACGCTCGTTGCGGGTAAAAATAATATAAATAAATTAATAATGAAGTAATTGTAACGAATAGAATAGAATTATTTGTTAATAAAATATTTTCGGTATTTACATAACCGATTACATGTTTTCACATTTCCTTCCGTTAAAATAATATTCATTTATGTATGACGCCGGGAAAAATGCGAGAAAAGACAAAGTGAGTAAATTAGAGATGAGTCGCAGAAATAATAAATTGCCATGTGAGACTCCAGTGTCGTCAAGATGTCAAGAACAGACATCAATGCAAGAGGTGTTAAAAGCCATACAAGCTCTACAACAAACAGTGAATGAAGTTCGAGCTGAAACAGTTTCGAATCGGGAAGACATAAGTAATTTGTGTGGACAACTTGCCAACGATAAGTCGGTAACGCACGAAAAGAAAGATGAAATAGGTAAGATAGATCAAGATGAAGACGAACGGTGCACTGCTGAAGTCGTATGTTCAGGAGGCGAAGGCATCCGACTTTATGATTTGCCAAAATTCAACGGTAACGCCGAACAGTGGCCACTTTTTCGTGCTAGTTTTGAGGACACCACCAAAACGTTTAAGTATACCAACAGACATAATTTAATGCGCCTACAGAAATGCCTAATGGATGAAGCCAAGGATGTCGTTCAGTCACTGTTAATATACCCATCAAATGTGCATGCAGTTATGGAAGAACTTGAATTTCGTTTTGGCTGCCCAGATTTACTAATACGGTCCCAGTTGGACAAGACTCAACAGTTCGAGAGAGTGACGGAGAGGAACGTTGATAGTTTAATTGCCTTATCCTCTCTTGTGCGAAATGTTGTAGCCTTTTTGTCATCAGCCAAGTGTGAGCAACACTTGAACAACCAAATATTATTAGAACAACTAGTGTATAAGCTGCCGCCTAGTAAACAATTTGAGTGGGCGCGTCACGCTGTAACTCTGAAGGAATATCCCACAATAAAACAATTTAGTGTTTGGTTGAGTGAGATAGCGAAAATAATTTGCCTTTTGCCACAGCCATTGTGTCAATCAAAAACCGAAAAGCCTAAAATTACAATGCCAGCTACTCAAAATTATACGCGCCGAGTTATGTATGCACAAAACCATGAGATGGAACAAGAAAATCACCTAGAAGTTAAGTGTTTTGAATGTGCAGGCCAACATCTAATAGTTACATGTGAAGCGTTTTTGAGTAAAAATGTTCAGCAGCGTTGGGTAAAGGTGAAGCAGCTTCGTTTGTGTTTTTCATGTTTGAGGAAAGGACACAATGTCATACAGTGCCAAATGAAAAGATCTTGCGGTATTGCTACATGAGTCCCAACAAGTGCCGCCTACGTCTGGATCAGTTCAACAGGTTTTGAGTTGTGCCAAGCCATGTTCCGGTTTTCTTTTTAAATTGGTTCCGATAAAAATTATGGGTCCAAAGGGACAACTGAAGATTTTCGCACTTCTGGATGAAGGGTCGTCAATCACTATATTAAATGCCAAAATTGCAAGTCAGTTAGGCCTTAAAGGCAAGAAACAACACTTAACGATGCAGTGGTATGATGAAGAGAAGGTGACTCAAAACTCAACAGTGGTAAATGTCAACATAAAGGGTGAAGCTGGCGAACAATATGAGATTAAAAACGTTTTCGTAATTTCCAATCTAAGACTGCCAACACAATCGTTTAAAAAATCAGATTATGGGCACCTTGATTGTTTGCCGATTGAAGACTATGATGATGTTCGCCCTTTAATGCTGCTGGGCCTAAATTGTGCCAACATAAATGCATCTTCTGCATCAGTGACCTCCGGTGCATTTAATCCAGTGGCTATTCGAACTAAACTTGGATGGGTGGCGTATGGTCCAACCGGTTCAAGCATCAGCGTCCATTCGCCAATGTTATTTGCCCGAGCAGAACCATCATTTAAATGTCTTGATCGTATTGTTGCCGAATATTTTATTTGTGGAAATTTTGGAATTGAAAATCCAACACCGCCGCTGGAGTCAGCCGATGATTTGAGAGCTCGTAAAATTTTGTCTGATACAACACGCCGTATCAATGATCGTTATGAGGTTGGCCTTTTATGGAGAAAAAATTCATCAATATTGCCTGATAGCTACGCCATGGCTGTCAAACGTTTGCAGGGAATCGAAGCTAAAATGAGAAATAATGTCAAATTTGCAGAACGATATAAGTCCGAAATTAACAAATACATCGCCAAAGATTACGCCAGGAAACTCACACAAGATGAAATTGAAGATATCACAAAGCCGTTGTGGTATTTGTCGCATTTTTCTGTGCAGAACCCGCATAAGCCCGCATAAGAATTGTTTTCGATGCCGCCGCCACTGTTGATAAACAATCTCTGAACTCAGCATTGTTGAAGGGACCAGAAAATGCTAAACCATTAATAGGAATACTTTTTAAACTACATCAGGGTCGTATTGCTGTTGCTGCAGACATAAAAGAGATGTTTTCTCAGGTTAAAATACGACCAGCCGACCAGAATGCCCAAAGATTCTTATGGAGAAGCGGTTGCGAAATATCACCGATCGAACAATATGTCATAACGTCTATAATCTTCGGAGCAGTATGTTCGCTCTGTTGCGCTGAATTTGTTAAGAACCATAATGCCGAAAATTGTTGCAGCCAATATCCGGTAGCTGTATCTGCCATCAATGAGAACTTTTACGTAGACGATTACGTTGCCAGTTTCGATACAGAAGAGCACGCTCTACTAATTTGTCAGCAAGTGGTGCAAATTAATGCAAACGCCAGCTTTGAACTTCGTAATTTTTCATCAAATTCGTTAAATCTACAGATTGTCATGAATGCAGGTGAAAGTGCAGAGGCCATCTGTTTGAATCAGCAGCGCCAAACTAAGAAAATCTTGGGAATGTATGGGAACGTAACAAATGATTCGTTTCAATTCTTAACAAAATTTCATCGCATAGCTAAAGAAGTTATCGAGGGTAAAAGGGTTCCAACAAAGCGAGAACTTTTAGGAATTGTGATGGCTATATTTGATCCATACGGCATCTTAGCGAATTTTTTACTTATTGCCAAAGTATTATTGCAAGAAACCTGGAAAACCAAATTAAATTGGGACGACTTGTTACCACCTACGTTATCTCAAAAATGGCTTCGGTGATGGGACGAATTTGCCAGAATAGGCAACTTCTTTGTACCAAGATGCTACTCGCCGCATCTCAACATTGCCAAAGAGGTCCAAATCCATATATTTATGGATGCTTGTCAAGTTGCATTTACTGCAGCAGTGTATCTGCGAATTAAACATCAATATGCAGTCGATGTGGTTTTTGTCTGTGGTAAGACTCGCACAGCGCCTAAGAAACTCTTATCCATGCCAAGGTTGGAACTGCAGGCTGCAGTCTTGGCTACTCGATTATCAAAGCTGGTGGTGGACAGACATGACATAAACATAAGCCGTATAATATTTTGGACTGATTCCAAAACCGTTCTTTGTTGGGTGAATTCAAGAAATCGCCGATTCAAATCATTTGTTGGGCATCGTATAGCTGAAATATTGACCTCAACGAAAGAAGACCAATGGAGATGGATGTCAACTAAGATGAACCCTTCTGACGCTGCAACAAGAGCCAAAGAGGTGCCTAAAATAAACAATGGCAACACTTGGTTAAAAGGGCCAACCTTTTTACGTCAAGAACAAAATAGCTGGCCAAATGCCACATTTTCGTTTTATACTGACACGCTAGAAGAAGAGATTACGACACCGATATTACTACAATATCAGGCCAGTGAAACATTGATAGAATTTAACCGTTTCAGTTCTTTTTTTAGACTTAAACGTTCTGTTGCCTGGTCCCTAAGAGCTGTTCAAATATTCCGTAGAAAACGAAATCCACTATTAATAGAAGAGTGTAATAATTTGCAGTCGTTGCCACCGTTATTACCAAGTGAAATCAATGAAGCCGAAATATTTATAATGCAACTGGTACAGGAGGATTGTTTTTCGGAGGAAAAGAGTTTACTTAAGCTTCAACAACCTCTTAACAAAAAATGCAAACTATACAAATTAACGCCATACGTAGACAACGAAGAAATTATTCGTGCCAGTGGTCGCCTGGACGAAGCCATATATCTGCCTCTTGAAGCTCGACGCCCTATTATATTGCCGAAACGCCATGTCGTCTCCGAACTAATAGTGAAACACTATCATGTTGCCTACAAACATCAAAATCAAGCTACCATTATCAACGCTGTACGCCAAAAGTTCTGGATAATTGGTGGCAAGCCACTTTTGAAATCAGTCCAACGCAATTGTATGGAATGCCGCCTTGAAGCCGCCAAGCCAGCGCCACCGTTAATGGGTCAGCTCTCAGTCGACCGTATAACGCCGTATGTACGACCGTTCTCATACACAGGTGTTGACCTGTTTGGACCATTACATGTTACTATTGGTCGTCGCCGTGAGAAGCACTGCGCTGTCATATTCACATGCTTAACAGTACGTGCTGTGCATATAGACATCGTCGATAGCTTATCAACTGATGCGTTCCTAGTATGTTTCCGCAGTTTTATTAACCGTCGTGGTACGCCAGTCAGAATGCGTAGTGACAATGGCACCAATTTTATTGGGGCACAAAGAGAATAATGTGCTGATAAAAGGTTTCTTGATGTTAATGATATACGTGAGGAAGCCACTCAACTTGGTATTGAATGGATATTCAATTGTCCGCAGAATCCCAGTGCAGGTGGTTGCTGGGAGCGCCTTATAAGAATGATCAAACGTTTATTATTCAAGTCAATCAGAGAAGAAGCACCGAAGGTGGAAACGTTAAGGGCAGCACTAATTGAAGCTGAAAACATTATTAACAGCCGACCGCTTACAGACATTCCTTTGACGCACAGCGAGCAGAAGTCACTCGCACCAAATCATTTCTTGTTAGGCTGTGCCAATAGTACACAGACACGCTATAATAATGCCATACCTATCAGCCTCGGTAAACAGTAGCATATCCTCCAAGATATAAACAGCCGTTTGTGGAAACAGTGGACTACGAAGTTCTTGCCTCAACTTTTTCGACGCCCTAAATGGTGGAAGGAGGTGGTGCCCCTCAGGGTTGGAGATTTTGTGATCGTTTCTGACAATCTGCTACCAAGAGGTCAATGGCTCAAGGGTCGAATTGTTGAAGTGTTTCCTTCCAAGACCGGTCAGGTTAGATCAGCCCGCGTACAGACCAAGAATGGTATCCTAACTCGTCCAGCCACCAAGCTAGCCGCTTGTCAGATAAGTGAATCTTGTGAAGATTCACGGGAATGTAACAGTAAAAAAGTAACTCTGAGTAATATTGAGCTGAATGCAGCCCTGCGAGGCAGCATGAAAGGTGAATGACGGAAAGAAAGAACGGAAATGACACACAAATGTGAAACACGCTCGTTGCGGGTAAAAATAATATAAATAAATTAATAATGAAGTAATTGTAACGAATAGAATAGAATTATTTGTCAATAAAATATTTTCGGTATTTACATAACCGATTACACATAGAACGTTAGAAAAATTTCTCTGTTTGTTAAAAGAGAGCAATTTGACGCTAAGAATGTGCAAATGCAAATTTCTTAAAACGGAACTAATACACCTAGGCCACGTTATTGATAAAAATGGAATAGCACCAGGTAATCAAAAAGTAGCTGCAATTAAAAATTTTAAACAGCTAACCAACGTAACAGAAGTACGACGCTTCTTGGGTTTGACTGGATTTTTCCGCAAATTTGTTCAGGATTACTCAATCATCTCAAAACCAATCACGATGTTGCTACGAAAATCAGAACAAGAGTTCGTATGGGGTGTTGAGCACAAAAATGCATTTGACAAACTTATAAATATGCTATGTAGCGGTCCGGTTCTAGTTCTGTACGACAGTAACGCTGAACATGAAGTGAATACCGATGCAAGTAAAGTTGGTCTAGCCGGTGTATTATTTCAAAAGAACGAAGGTAAACCGTGGAAGTCAGTTTTTTATTATAGTCGCCATTGTACGGAAGCAGAAAGTAGATATCATAACTACGAACTCGAGGTGTTGGCAATGGTTTAAACTTTGCAGCGATTCCGAATTTACCTACTTGGTAAACATTTTTGCTTGGTCATGGATTGCTCTGCAATCGCAACAGTAAAAGCTAATAAGGAGCTAAAGTCTAAAATAGCTCGATGGTGGCTCAAGTTACTTCCACACGTAGATGCATTAAGCCGTACTCCCGATCAACCACCAAATGAAGTAGCCTGCAGGTTTTATAATGAAGATCACTGCTAATATTGATGATTGGCTTCTCACAATGCAGCTACAAGATAAAGAGCTTTTAAAATTAATTGCTGTTTTAAACGGAGATTTAAACTCCCCACAAAAAAACAAATTAAAAATGAATACAAATTACAAAATCATCGCTTATATCGACGTGCCGCTGAAGGTCTACAATTTGTTGTACCAAAAGCTGTAAGATGGAGAGTTGTGCAGTCCTGTCACGATGATATCGGTCATTTTGCGCTAGAAAAGACTATCGAGCATATTAAACAAAATTTCTGGTTTCCGAAGATGCGAAAATACGTAAAGGATTATTGTTTACAAAAATTGTAAACAAATATCAGCTGTTGGACTTATAATTTAAATTTGAAATTTAAAAGCACATACTTCAACAATAAAATATTTAGCAATTGTGAAATTTAAATTAATATTCAATTAATATAACATTGGTGTGTGAATTAATTAAATAATGGACTTTTTGATAAGAAGATTTTTTTTTTCAGGTGGTGTGAGAGATTCACGGAATTATTTATTTCGGAAAAGAAAATGTTTGCGGAATTCTACAGACCCCTTCGCTATATCTGATGCGCGTTTTATTGAAATATTTCGTCTTTCGAAATATTTATGTAAGCTTTTCATGGCAGAAATAACTCCGTACATGGTACCGAGAAGTCGATCAGATGGAATTTCGAGGGAAATACGCGTACTTGTTTGTAACGACACTTTTTGGTAACGTTCAAAAATATTTAGTTTTTGCTGGGGTATCCTCAGCCGTCGTCCAGAGTCAGAGTCATTACAATGAATTTATTTTTTTCGGGGACGTAGGTTTTAAAAAAAAAAAGAAAAGGAAACGTTCGTTTACTAGATTGAATTGTATAGTTTATTTACTTTAAAAGACAATATTCCAAAAAAAATTATTCCAACGTATGAGAAAGTTACTTCAATTACAATGTGATTATAAATAAATTTATAGTTTATTTACTTTGAAAGACAATATTCCAAAAATTATTCCAACGTATGATAAAGTTATTTCCATTATATGTAATGTGATTATAAATAAATTTATAGTTTATTTACTTTGAAAGGCAATATTCCAAAAATTATTCCAACGTATGATAAAGTTATTTCAATTACAATGCGATTATAAATAAATTTATAGTTTATTTACTTTGAAAGACAATATTCCAAAAATTATTCCAACGTATGTTAAAGTTATTTCAATTAAAATGTGATTTTAATTCAATAAAATAAGAACAAGAAATGTGCATCGTACTTGTCGATGAGATCTTCACTTGCAGTGGTTTCCCGAATTTCCTCCTCTGTTGCCTAAGGCCGACTCCTTTTACACCTCTGTAAGTTACTTTAATTTTACAATTTAAAATTGGAAAGGAAACTGATTACAAATCTATCCTAGAAGAAGAAAGATATAGTACAACTCGATATGTATTATTAAAGGAAGATATATATATATGTTTCATAGACATATAATTATGGCCGTTGTCGTAACACCAACGCAGGACTTATATATTTCGAATATATGTTTCATAGACATATAATTATTATAATTTTTCGGCGTAATACCACCTTGACGAATGTTCATCGACTCGCACCTGCTTCAAAATTTCGCTGTCTTAAATACTCCTACGCCGGAGCTTTCGTCTAGCGTATTTTAAATTCTTCCGTTCGTTTACCTGCTGTGTTTTGTAGCGTAAACCGCTGTGCTTTTATTCTTGGCCGTTTAGCCGCTGTGCCTCTGTGTTTTCGTCGTGTTTTGTTTTGACAGTTTCGTATATATACAAAAACGTGCAACATAAAAATAACCATAATTTATTAAATATTTCTGTGTAGTATTTTTATACATATATATTTTTTTTATATAAAAAAAATAGTAAATAAAGTTTTTTTCAAATAATAACTACTTGCTTTTTAAATTTTTCTCTTTTTGTTTAAGAACTTTGTGTAACTTTGGTGCATGTAAGTGGAAATTTAGTGGACAAAATTTCCGTCCTTACATGTTGCATTGGGCTTTTTTGCTCAAGGTAAGTTGATATTTAATAATTGCAAAAAAAGTGAATCAATTATGTTAATTTATAGGATGTTATCAGCGTTCTGTGGGCCAAAGCTTTTTGTTAAATGTTTCTCAGGCAGTTGTTAGTAGATGCGTTAAGGAGGTTGCAAATATAATGAATCGGTATTTTGTAGTAAAGTACATCAAATGGCCCAGAACAATTCAGGAATTATGCACTACAAAAGAGAAATATATCTTCGAAATCTTGTGTTAAAATACAATATAGTTAATCGACAATTATTTGCAGATTTTATGAAAAGTTTCGGTTTCCAGGCGTAATTGGTGCAATTGATTGCACTCATATAAAAATTAAAACCCCTAACTTAGCTATTGAGCATGTGTATGTCTGCAGAAAAGGAGGACATTCGCTAAATGTTCAAGTGGTATGATTCAAATTTAATTTATTTACATACTATAATAATAGGCATTAATCTTAGGTATGCGATTATAATCTAAAAATTTTAGATTGTAATGCTCGCTTCGGCGGTACTGCACATGATGCATCCATATGGAGAGCCAGCGCCTTACGAGTGCTTCTTACTCGAAAGTACAAAAATGGGGACCGAAATTTCCGGTTAATAGGTAAAACTTGATTGTACATTAATTTTTTTGAGAAACTAATTCTGTTTTTGTTTTTAGGAGATAGCGGTTATCCCCTCTTACCCTTTTTGATGACACCTGTTCGAGGAAATACTTTATCGACGGCACATAACAATTATAATGTGCAACATCGAAAGGCGAGAAATTGCATTGAGCGTTGTTTCGGATTATTAAAAAGTAGATTTCATTGCCTTAGCAGCGAAAGAACTTTAATGTATGATCCTGAAACAGCGGGCAAAATTGTTAATTCATGTTTGGTGCTACATAACTTCATTATTAAACATAATATAATGAACGAAGTTATTGATGTTGACTGCGCAGAAAACACGGACGAAGAAATAAATGAAGATAATGACTTTGAAGCACAAGAACCCGTCCCTGAAGCATTTCTAGTAAGAGAAGAAATAATCAATAATTATTTTCAATATTAATTGGGTTTTATTTAATTGACTTTTTATTAAAAGTTTAAATATATATTTATTTATATTGTTATTATTGTAATATTATTAATAAATTGTTATTATGACTAATATTCAACACATTTTTATTAATACTCTGGCCTTAGCTCCTTAATTTAACACATAAAAATCACACATAAATTTTTGTTAAATATTTAATTGTATTTTAGTTTTTATAAAAACTTATATGTATTACAAATATTTGGGTCTACTTCGTAGACCATTTTCAGTATCCAATGAGGAAGAAAAACCTTAAAAATAAACAATTATTTTACTAATAAAAAAAGCGGAAATTTCCGCATCACCCCTGAGGTATTACACATAATGCGTTAACCAAATTATTTTATATGGCTGGTTCCCCCGTAGGCCTATCCACCATAAAAAGCTCACATTAGCCCTATTCTATTTATTAAAATTATTAAGTGCATCCGCTAACAGTTTTATAGCATCCGTATGCTCTTTAGTGGCCTGCACGCGTTCGTCCGCAATCTCCGTCTCTCGTTTGAGCATTCTGTCCTTCAGCTCAAGTCGACGCTCCTCAAGCCTCAACCTTTTCTCCTCTAACTCGACGAACTTTTGGTTGGTCTGTTCTAATGAGGGATTTCGCTTTCGTCGCTTGGCTGGACGAAAAGATCTTAAAGGCACACAACCCTTATCGTTACCACCAGCAGATGGACCTGAACCGCTTGGCAGTTCCTTTCCCTCCTCAAGGTACTAAAATTAATCATTTATTACGTTAATAATTAAAAACTATATAAAAAATAAAAGCGATAATAAGGCATTCGCCTCTAATACTTAACTCTAAATCATAAATACATAAAATGTGACTTTAAAAGTGCATTGCTGGCTCGCAGACATCTTCCATGCCTTGCACCGCTACTGGATGCATTACTGCAATAATCCGTTTATCTAGATGGGAAGTTCATTGCCGTTGTGAACAACAGCAACTTTTAAACTAAATTTTAAACTATCTGTAAAAGACGCCATCCGCTTGGATTCCACCTTATTTGCAATTTCTTGAAAAGACCTTTAATATCACTGCAATAAACAGTTTGATGGAATTTTTTGAAAAAACATGAATTGCTTCTGTTGCGATATTCATTTACTCTTGTGGATTCACTTAAGCAGTTCCACTGTTGAAGACGTGAAGACGTGGGGCTCACTATGAGCTTTTGATAAATGTAAGTCTCTAGTTAAATCTTTTAATTCAATTTGTAATATAAAATGATTTGCGGTTTCACTTGTAGAATTCTCAACTCTAGAACTCTCGTAGAACTTTATTTTCATATTCACTATTGTTGTCAAGCATATTTGGTGGAGTTGGTTGAGCAGTCGCATTGCTTCGTGAAACTCGCTTAATTGCTGATACTATTTCTGGATACTTCAGAAATCTTATTTCTTTGGCGACATCATACATTTAAGATTTATGATGCAGAAATAATAGTGAGAATGGTTTACAACCTCTTTCCAAAGTATTGGTACACAAAAGTTCAAATATTGTATTCTTCCAATACACCATCTTTTAAGAGTAATTCTGCAGGTTAGACACACTGCATTAGAAGTCCACGGTTTATCCTGCTTAGCCATAGCAAATCCCAAGAAGAATCGTATGGTATCATATGATACCATATGTAAAATTAGCAGTTTAATAAACTAACGTTCGACGTCGAGCTTTTGTATAAAATGCAATATATTAATATTTAATAATATTAATTTTTAATTTTTAAATAAAATTTGTACAATTTTATATAGTACTGTTTTGATTTGCACATTAAATTTTAAAAAATAAGTTCGAAAAAAATTTGGAAAATGGGAAATAACTTCTGAAATTTTTATTTGATTTTTATGTTAAACCACTCGAAATGTTTGTACTAAAACAGTCTTTAACATCAATCCAAAAAAGAATTTTTTTTGATTTTGATTGAAATTTAAAAGAATTTTTTTGATTGAAAATCAAAAAAGTTGAAAAAAGCGTAAAAAAAACATTTTTAATCTGTTCATTTTCAGCTATAGCATGTAACAACCAAAATTTTATTTATTAAAAATTTGATTGCTCCAACGTCGTGGGTATAGTCACATAACACTCAACAAGCATTACTCACTTGAATTGATTAACTCGAAGATTGCTGTGTTAAAAAAAAATAAAATTTGTTAAGTAGTGATAAAAACATTAACAATCCAACTCACCGCAATCCTCTGCCATCAGCAACGTAATTGGACAAACTCTGAAATTATATGAAATAAAATAAGATATGGTGTAATTAATATATTGAAAGAATATTATACACACCTTAAACTATCGTTTTAAATATTTATGTTGCTGGAACTTTATTGAATATGAAATAATTTTAAATTAATTTTAAAATAATTTTTCACTGTCACTTAAATAAACACGTTGACCGGCATAACATTTTATTGGAAAAAAACAAATAAGATCAAAAGAAGATATTAATAAAGAGACCTGTCAAACTAAGAAAGCTTTTGCGCAAAGGTGTGGAACGAAAGCAAAACTTAGTCAAAAACAACTTCTAACTTCCACATGTATAGGAGATAGAATTCGCCGTAAAGCGGGATTTTAACTGGTGCATTGCAGTGCGATCAGCTAATGAGCTTTGATCAACGGTCGTTGAACTTTAACGTAGCTACAGCTGATACCGTTGACCGTTGACGATATAAAACTGCGTGCATCAGGAAGGGGGCGGCTTCTTGTTCGGTTTCTACGCAGTGACATAGCTATATTTTAACGTAAGGTGTGAGATTTGCTACTCTGAAAGAAAAAATTACAGCTTTTGTAAGTACTTTTTAATTTGGACATTTCGCTCAATTTCGGCATTTTATGTTATTATTTATTGATAGCGATACAGGTGATCGAAAAAGTTTACATATATACTGTTATGGTTATATAATGTAATGTTATAGTGATGATCTTAATGCTTCGCCATGTAATGGTTGCAGGATGTTAGGATCGTCAAGATATAATAGCAGGATTGTTAGATAGAGTCTTCTCAATTAATATCACCAAATGATGTCTGAGTCCTGAAAGGATTCAAGGATCACTTATCGACCAGTGTAAGTGGAAACGACCTATCAGTATAGAGGAGAGTATTACTAAGCTCTTCAGCCGATTATTGTTCTTTCAGCATCTAAATGCCGCATAGAACACGATTCAAATAAAAGACGTAACCTTGTCTTAAGTTAAATTGAATCTATTTTTATTATCAAAATTATGGGTATTTATACTTATTCTAACTTATTTACTAAACAATTATTATTTACTTTTTGATTGATTTGAGTAACCAATCAATGCATTGGTTACTCCCATAAATTACATTAATTATTTTATTACATATATTTTATAAACAAATACTCTTCTAACGCATTACAATAATACGTCATATATTGTTTTTAAAGAGTTAATGTACTTTCTAGAATTTAGGTCGGAATAGTGCAATGACCATACATGCTTATCATGTGTTATGTTACAAATGCATATTTGTAACAGCATGAGTCAAAATATTTCTTTTAAGTAATATGATCAAAGTCAAAGCGTCAAACCGACAAAAGTGCATATTATAATTTATGACACATTTATTTTGTCTGAATGAACAGTGGCTTGTCACATATGATATTAATGTAGGTCATGGGCACTACAATACTTAATATTGCAACGATATTGGCTAAACGTTTTGTTGAAAAAATTACGATGCTGAGCATTGAATTTTAAGCTCTCATAATTATTGCTGATATAATTAGTGCTATAATACAGCAGATTGATAAATTTACACAAATATTTCACTAAGTGCGTTCATATAACCGTGTATATAAACGCAAAAAATTATACATTTGAAAAATTTATATATTTAGATGAGTATCCTTAAGGTTTACAAAATGTTTATTAAACTATATTCATCAAATATGTAGAGCAAAGGAATTTTACCATTTTATTTTAAATATTTATGTTGAAATGTGTTTTAAATTCAGTGCAGCAAAATGACGTTTTTCTCAAAAATGATAACAGAAAAGAAAAGTCGATTGTTATTGCACTCATTGTTGCTAAAAAAAATTCAAAGAGTACGCTATTTGAATCGAGGCTTAAATTTAGTCCGAATGCTGCCCTATTTGTTGAATTTCTAAGAATGAATGTGTACTTTAGTATCGTTCACAACTAAGTTCGTTGTAAAATTTTGTTAATAATTACGTTTTAAATTTTTATGTTGTAACGACACATTCCTCGGCGTCGTTGCTATTTGCTGGAGTATCCTCAGACTGACGAAAGTCATCACAATAAATTTATAAATTGTGACCAAAATATTCAAAGTCGTTCCTTTTTCAAATATAATTAAAACTTTTTTCATTTATAGTTTATTATTAAGTATAATTATTTCAACTTTTATAATTTAAAAAAATATATATAAAAATATTTACAATATATTTAAAAGAATAGAGATGTGTTTCCAGGAATCTCCAGTATAGGGGATCTAAAAGAATTTGGTGAACGATATATTGATTATAGAGTGTATTTTATATGCTATAGAAATTACTTTAGACACAGTCGACGTGAGACCACCTATCGAGTCCTGGTAATTCGATACAACTTTTCTTTTGATCGAATACTTCGTCTATCGACATACTTCCACTTCGATTGAATACTTCATATTCTAATATATTACAAGAAATTACTTTAGACATGTTAACGTGAGATCACCTGTCGAGTCTTGATAATTCAACGTTATTTTTCCTTCGTTCGGAGACTGCTACTATAGAAACTATGCTATTGTACATTACAAGAAGTTACTTCAGACACAGTCGACGTAACACCAACTGTTATGTTTTGATAAATCAATGTAATTATTCCTTCGTTTGGAGAATTTTGCTCATAAATAGTATCCTTTTGTATATTATAATGAGTTACTTCCAACACAGTTGATGTGATACCATCTCTCGTGTCTTTGACATTC